AAAATGAAAGAAAAGAAAATACATACATCCTTAATTTACTATTATACCCTTACATACAAAAATTTGTTTTTTATTATAAATAAAATCTTCAAGATTTAAAAATGTTCAATGTTGCTTTAATTAGTTATAAAAATAAATAAAAAAATATATAAAAATATGTATACAGAAGATAATAACCAAAAAACATAAATATGAAAAATATGTGTGATAAGATATTTAGAAGTATGCGGGTTTTGAATTAGAATTGTGACAGAACATATTAGAAGTATATATCAAGGGAAACAAAGTCAATTTATCTAAAAAAAATAGATTATTTTCAATTTTTCTCACTTTCCTCCCACTTTTAAAGGAAAAAAAAAATAGAAGGCTCGAGGAAAGCACTTTCCCTCCAATTTTTTCTTCTCTCCTATTTTCCATTGGAACCAAATAATGGAAATTCTTTCTTTCCACTTTATTTTTCACCTATCCAACTTTCATAAAACCAAACACACAATTAATATTTGGTAAATTATGGAGGCGCTTTGCAGCCACCGAAATGGCCTAAGCTTAGGGCCGGTCTTGAGATGGAGAACATATTGGAGGCGAACCCATCATTTCTGAAGAGTTTGGTTGAAGGGAGGCTATTGCAATTTGACCAAAACTCTCATTAGTTATTTACTAGTTTATTTAGAATGTGTTATTTGCTTCTGAATGTCATATTTAAGTGGTTTGGTAAAAATATATGTTATCTGATCCTCAGGTCGATAATACAAGATCTCAATATCGTCATCAGTAATCAAGTCACGAATATAATGATATTTGATATTTTCATTTAGGTCTTTAATTTGTCACTTCTTTAAACTTATATATCACTTTACCTTCTTGGACTTCACTACAGTACCAAAAAAAAAGACTTCACTACGGTACTATAAGAAAAAATTTGGTATGGTACCTCCAAAACTTGTTATTTTAGTGGGATTTTTTATAATTTTTATGGGTCATTTTATAACAAAAAATTTTATCATTTTTGTGGGTAATTTATCACTTTTTGTTGATATTTTTTGCCACTATTGTAAGTATTTTTATTACTATTGTAATACTTATTTTCATCACTTACATTCGGTAAAAAAAAAATTACTATTTTTGAGTGATTTATCACTTTTATGGATATTTGTACCACTATTGTAGTAATTATTTTTAGCGCTTTTCTTTGGTATTACAAAAGTGCTAAAAATATACATTACAGTAATAAAAACACCCACAAATATGATAAATATCGGTACGAGTAGATAATTCCTACCTTCTTTTCAAACATATTTATATCAAACAATTTTTTTTAATCAAATTTCTTAAACACAATTTCAATAAAAAGCAGATTTTGAAAAAATACTTTCTAAGAAAAATTGAAACTAATTAAATATGTGCTGCTAAAGACGTGTAGATTCTGTAGTTCTCGTAGATCAAAAAAAATAAATTAAAGACGTGTTGCTAAACAAACTTGTTTTGAAGTCGTGCTTGACAAAAAATGCGATTAAGGGATTGGTTGAATAGATTTTTGGAGAGGATTTGGATTGACTTCACCAAACTCTTTCAAACTCAAATTTCTCTTTACAAAATGCGATTTAATATTAAATTTCGTTCATACTTATGTTTGACATGTAACACATACACATATAAGACTTACACATTTATCATAATTATTAAAACCTATTTGTCATATAAATAACTATTTTATTCTTGATCAATCCAATTTATACTAATGTTAAATGATATAATTGTCTTTTGCATCCTCAACCCTTTAACTCATCTTCCCAAACCCACCCTCCCCTTAGATTTGTCGAAACCCACAATCATGGATTTAATATTCAGGCTAACTACGGGTTAGGTTTGAAAACTCATGATTGAATTTTCAATCCAAATATAGGGTTTGGGGATCCTTTGGACTATTTTCTCCAACCCTATCTTACCAAGCCCCCCCCCCCCCATCCAAATACCCCGTCACCAACTATTCCTTAAGGGTGTGTTTAGTTTAATTATTAGGAAGGATCGGATTAGATAATGTGGTGCATCCCTTACTCATCCATTCAGCCCTTGGACTAATTATAGTCATAATATATGCTTCATTATTCCATGTGTTGATTCAAGCATTAAGAAGTAGTGGGTCTCATATTTATCTCATCCAATACTTTGTTTGGATAGAGTTTGAATGATGATATACACATTAATTTACTAAAGAATCCTCAAGATAAAGAATAATATTTATATCTTACAGACACTTGAGGGTAAAAATATCTTTTGGTCAAATACATCACCAATTGGATTATTTAAACTCATAAAAAATGTGAGTTTATTTAAGAGGTTATATGTGGTATTTAATATACTATTCATTTGGCCCGGTATTATTTTTAGGTGATAATACTGGACCCAAAATGTGTATCCAAGTAGGGGTATAAGAGGGATAAGGCGGGGTCCGACGTTATTTTCTCCAATCTCTCTTTGTTAATATCTAAAGCAAACACACCCTAAAGGACTTAATTGGTGACTTAATTCAATGTAACTATTAAATTATTTGTGACATTAAATGTTAAATAAAGTCCACTTTCTTTCCTGCGTCTAATGTGGGTAGATTATCCTCGGTTCTCTCTCTCATGGTTCAAAGAATCGATTGATATCGATACGAGTTGGTCGAGTCGTATTTGACTTGACACTTATTGCGACAATATTGTTATACGATACATACAAATTCAGAGTCTCGCACAACTCGGCAGAATCGTTTGAACAGTATTTGAGTAAATTTCAATCGCTGAATTATCATCATAGAATCGGCTGATATAGTTTTACGACACCACAGTATAATTAAATCTCTTGTAATGTTCAACACTATTTGTTAGGTCGTATTTCTCGATACCATGCCGTGACTCCGCGATTAATATATTTCAAAACTCTCTAAGTCAATGATCAATACCGTGACTTTGAACCATTCTCTCTCCTTTCAGTCGTAACTTAATGTTATCAAGGTTGTCCTCGTCACCACCAATGACGATAGTGTAACTTTTGCGTCATGGTAGAATCTCTCTTTATCAACAGCCTTTTTCTCCCACTAATAAAAGCTTTATTTCATGTGCACAACTTTTTCTCCCACTCACAATGAAAAGTAATATATAAAATATTCTCCTTCTGTGTGCCTTGTAATAGATTAAAAAATATAATATATATCTTCTTAGTTGAAATTTATATGATTAAAATTATTTTCTTTGTCTATATATATTAAGTCATACATAGAATCTAGTATCGAGTATACATTAGATCAATTAAATTCTATTTTTAAAAAATTATTTTCATGAAGTCCTAAACTCATTTAATTATGATTGTTGATTGTAAAAAAATAAAGTAAAATAAAATTATGTGCCACATTCTTATTATACCAAAAAAAGATGTACAATAACAAAAAAAATATTTTTAAGTATCGTATGCAATACGAGAATTATTTGCATGAAATAACAACATGCAATCAACTTTTTGACTGATTTTAAAGCTAAATGACCAAAAGAAAAAGCTGTTTTTATCTGCAGTTGCTTTCCAAGTGGAAAAAAAACACTTGTTATTTTCATGTGTTATCATGTCTTAAACCAGATGAGGGGAGGGATACTTTAACAAATCTATAAAAGTAAAAATAATGGATCTAGTGCATGGCCCCACTATGCAATTGATCTATTATTGGGTTTCTTGACTTGATATGGTCTTTGGAGTTCAACACAGCCAAAATACGAAATTTTATCGACTTTTATGGATATATAAATTGAAGAGATAGACTTTGCATCCTCTGAGCAAGAAAAAATTTTTATCATTTGGAATTAAAGGAAAAATGAAAGAAAAGAATATACATATATCCTTAATTTACCATTATACCCTTACATACAAAAAATTGTTTTTTATTATAAATAAAATTTTTAAGATTTAAAAATGTTCAATGTCACTTTAATTAGTTATAAAAATAAATAAAAATATGTATACAAATAATAACCAAAAACATAACTATGAAAAATATGTGTGATAGGATATTTAGAAGTATGTAGATTTTGAATTTGAATTGCGACAAAATATTTTGAATTATATATCAAAGGCAAAAAAGTCAATTTGTCCAAAAAGTAAATTATTTTCAACTTTTCTCTCGCTTTTCCCACACTTTTGAAAGGAAAAAAAAAATGGAGACCCGGATGTAAATATTTTCCATCATAACCAAATAATGGAAACTCTTTATTTCCACTCTATTTTTTATTCATCCAATTTTTCATCAAAACAAACATACTATTAATATTTGGTAAATTATGGGGGCGCCTTTGCATCCGCCTAAATAGCCTAAGCTTAGGGTCAGACTTGAAATAGAGCGCATATTGGAGGCGGGGCCCCATCATTTTCTGAAGAGTTTGATTCAATGGATGCTATGGTAGTTTGACCAAAACTCTTAGTTATTTACAAGTTTATTTAGAATGTTTTATTTGCTTCATGAATGCACTGAATTTAAGTGATTTGGTAAAAATATATATAATCTAATCTTCGGATTAACAATACAAGATCTTAATATCGTCATCAATAACCAAATTACGAATATAATTATATTTGAAAATTTTATTTAGGTCTTAATCTGTCACATCTTTAAATTTATATATCACCTTACCTTCGTGGACTTCACTATGGTACCAAAAAAAAAGACTTCGGTACCAAAAGAAAAAATTTGGTATTGTAACTAACTCGCTTTATCTGACACGAATGAGAGGCCTATATATACACATATTGTATAAAAACTATCACTCTTATTTGCAAGTGGAGAAACTAATAGTCACAATTTTCGTTTGTGACCCTTTCTTGGCAAATACAATGGTCCAAAGATAAGTTGCTTTTATAAGAGCACGACTTTGAGCCAAGCTTAGAGGCAAGAAGCTCTTTTGATTGAGAAGAGAGAGAGAGAGAGAGAGATGCATATGTTGTTGTACAAGTTCTTAGTTACTCCGTTGCTGCTTATGGCAGTGCAATGCGGAGCAACCGGTACTTTGGACCCTGCACCAGCTCTTCCCCCAGAAGAAGGTAAATCACCATTTAGTTTTGTTGTAACTAAGAACTACTTATCAAAAGTAACTTTACAAAATCGCATTTAACATTTTCGCTTAAGACCCCCACTTTTGTCGGTCACTCCTGACATCAATCTGTCACATTTGAGATTTCTACAAGTAATTTAAAGGGAAAAATACCAATAAATCATACTTTTCTTTCAAATGAATCGTTAACTCCTATCATATTTATCTTAGAATAATTAAATCCTACTTTTGACAATTTATTCCCAAAAAATCATAAACTCCTTTAATGATTTATTTTGTTTCAATTTTATTCTTCCCATAAAAAAATTAATTACATTTTTGTTTATAATTTTATACTCAATTATATTTATTGAAATTAATAATTTTTTTTATTAATCCAAAATATGGAAGGAGAGGTTAAAAAAAAAAGTATAATTAGATGAGCTTTTCTCCGTGATTGTATTAATAGATTAGTTTTTACATTGTTTGTTAATTCATGAATAGTCAAGTGAGTCAAAATTTTATATGCTTCAAAAAGTCAAAAATAAGAAAAAATAAAGTTGTGTAATTGATGAAGTGTAGGACTTCTTGAGAATAAATTATGAAAATTAGGACTGAATTGCCACATAATAAACATGATAGGATTTAGTGATTTTTTGGAGGAACAATAGGACTTATTGGTGATTTCTATGAGAAACATAGAATATTAAACAGATACAAAAAATTTAGATGCAAACTTATATAGAGTATATAAAAGGGTAAATTGTATTGGAGGTCCCTAAAGTATGAGATTTGTCTTATTTTGGTCCCCAATATTTCAATTGCACCATTTTTGTCTATAAATTATTGAATATGTTTTTATATGGTCCTTCAAGCAGACAACGTTCAGATTGCTAACAATTTTTATCATAAACTTCTCACATAATATAGACAAAAAATAATTTTGATAGCTCTTAAACAAAATTTGGATAGTTCTTGACAAAAAAAAGTGTAATATAAGTAGTTTTTGACCAAAATTTGGATAGTTAATGATAAAATTGTGTAATTTAAATAGTTATTTAACCAAATTTTTAGTAGAAATTTAGTCAAAAATTATCCAAATTATTTTTTTTATCTATATTTAAGTATCACGTGAAAAATTTATGATAAAAAATTATTAGCAATTTGAACGTTATTTGCTTGAGGGACCATATAAAAACATATTCAATATTTGAGAGACCAAAATGATAAAATAAAAACATTGGGGATCAAAATGAGATAAATTTTATATTTTGGAGACCTCCAATACAATTAACCCTATATAAAATATTGATATACTAAAATCGAATTTGATTGTGATCCAATATCATTGCACACAAACATATAAATATATAACAATTAAATCAGTAGTGAAATCTATCTAACATTAAAACTCAAAAACTAATCTTAAGATTACGTTGAAACCATATTATTAGTTTATCAGATTAGAGATCTAATTCAATACAATTATTATATTGATAATAAATACCATATAATATTAAAACTTACAATTAATTCAATAAATTTTAAACCATTAGGCCATGTAATACTGCATCATTGAGATGGTGTAACGGGCTCAATATTTTTTCCCGTTCCATTGCCTCACGAGAAATAATCCTCTCTCTCTCACTCACTCTCAAGATCCTCCTACAACCAGTACGCTGCCATTCTTTCTCTTTCCTATTCTCCGATCAGCCCAATGTCGACAGTCACCACCACTTCTTCCTCTCTCCTCCTCTCCTACCAGTTGGCCGATGGCAGACACCGCCATCCTCTTATGTTCTTTCTCTATAGTATTCTCCAACCAGTCCGCCGCTCACAGTCAATACCAACCAGCTCAATCATCCTTAAACCAAAGCATTTGCCGACACAGAGCCCGTACTTGAAGCATTCAAAATTTAAATTCAGTACGGTGGATAAACCAACTTGCGTACAGTGAAGTTTGCTCTGAAATTACAAAGGTGAGTGAAACAATTTGCACCGAAATTTGCGCCAAAATTAACACGGTGAGTGATTGTCAGTGAATTAGTGTGCGAAAAGTAAGAGATTGACTACGTTTGTTTTGTGAATTTAGGGTTCCATTTTGTTTTTTCGGTATCCGAATGATTCAATTCTTGACCATTCTCAATTTGGATAAAATTATGCTGACCAAATTTGTTTAGCAAATCTTGTATTCTAAGTGATGTGTCAAAATTTCATTGAACATAGTGGACCCACTGATCCAACGATTTGAGATACAAAATTTGGTAAACAATTTACTCAGAATGATTTTGGTTCAATTCGAATTTTCCAATTTCCATTATGGATTCCCTTTGAAAAACTTTATTTATTTAATCTTTCCAATGACGAGAAAGAGAAAACTGGAAAGATAGAGAGATGACTATAGGAAGTTACGAGAGACATCAAATGTCAGTCTGACAAGTAATAAATTTTGAGGGTAATCTTATCTTAAGATAATTTGTTGATTAACTAGTTATTTCTCGTCCCTAAAGACACACAGTAATAAAAAAAAAGATCAACAATAAACATATTTTTATTCATATCAAAGATCAAATCACACACATAGAGGATAAAGAAAGAAATTTAAACACCGATTATAGTGGAGGTGAGTAATGATAGTGGTGGTGGTGAAAAAAGGTGATGAGTGTGGTGGGTGGTGACGATTGTGGTGGTAGTGGCAGTCGTGAGCTGTAACGGTGGTGGTGATGGCAGGCGTGGACCATAACAGTGATGGTGGTGGTGGGTTTTGTGTGACAATGGTGGTAATGGTAGCCATGGATGACAACGATTATGATGGTGGGTGAGTGTGGTGGTGGGCGACGGTGATAATGGTTAGCCGTTGTGGTGGTAGGGCGGCGACTGTGGTCGTAGCGGTAATGGATGATGTCGATGGTGATGGTGATGGTGGGCAATGACAAATGCTTATGAGCAACAGTGTGATCTGTGATAACAAATGGCGGTCATGGCAGGTGTGTTGGGCTGGTTGATAGTGAATGGCGACAGTGGTGGGCGATGATGGGTGGTAGTGGTAGGTGTGGTGAGGTTGGGTGCCAACGGCTGACGGCGATGGTGAGTGACGATAAATGGTGGTGGGTGGTGGTGGTGTGTGTTGATGGTGGTACTGGGATAGTGGTGGTAGTGGCAAGAAATATAAGAATGAGATGACGATGGTGGTAGGTGGTTGCGTTTGATGACGGTGGCAACAATCGGTGATCGGTGGTGGTGATGCACGACGGTGGCAACAAGTGGTGGTCAATGGCGGTGATGGTAGTGGTGGTGGGGGTGGGGTGGGGTGGGGTGGGGTGGGGTGGGGCAATGGTGGTGGTGGTGGGGTGGCGACAGTGATTGTAGTTGTTAGGGTTAGGGTGATGGAGGGATAATGACGGGTGAAGTGGTGGGGTGACAGCAGTGACAGTTGTGGTAGGGTGGCGGTGGTGGTAGTAGTGGTTGTGGCAACGGTGCCAATGGTGGTGGTGGGACGATGGGGGTGGTGATAATGTGGATGGTTATGGTAGTGCAATAGCGTTGTTGGCGAAGAATTGTTACAAGGACTTGCGTGAAGAATCCGATGATGATTGTACTTTCTAAAATTTGATGCATTATCAATATATACAAAATTATTGAACTTGATAGTGATACAAACACAACAATTTATATCTAAAATCCTCACATCAAATAAAAAATAAAATTACACAAAAATTATTTTGTTTTTCACTTGAGAAATTTATACTAAAAAACCACACACACGTGCACACACACGCACACAGAAATTGAGTTTAGTAGTTTGGGTAAATATTATAATTAGTTCACAAACTTTGTCTTTTCTTTTGAAATGGTCCCTATATTTTTAATTGTCTTAATTTAGTGATTAAACTATTAATTTCATGTCAATTAAGTCATTCGGTTAATTTTAGCCATTAGCAAACAAGCCACATATTTGTCATATGATTGTCCACGTCATATGATGCTATTTGTTCTAATGGCTGAAATTGACAAAAAATCTTTAATTGAGATGAAATTGATAGTTATGAATTGAGACAATTAAAAATTCAGGATCATTTTAAAAATAAAATGCAAAGTTTAATGACTAATTATGATATTTATCCTAATAATTTTATAATAAAAATTTAAACTGGGTAGGAATGAATATTTATTACCCACCTTGTTCAAAATGACTATATCCAACCCATACTCTTTTCTAGAGCTGAATTTAAATTTAGATAAAAAAAAAACCCTTAAAAATCTTCCCAATGTTATACTAAAACCATACCAAATAAAGAGAGACTACAATCTTTACCCCTTTCACCAATATTAAATTCCATTCTTTTTTAAAAATCTATCCTCCTTTAAATTTGAGTTTGTTAACATTTAAATTTGAGTTGAGTTTCTCCATGGGAGAGGTTTAAATAAGAGTTAGTATTTCCATCGAAGATAGTCTATAACACATCAAAATTTTTGCTTCAATTCTTTGTATTTGCTTGCAGTGGATGCTGTGAACGCTCTATTTCAACGTTTGAAGACTCCTTTTTGGGAACTTGACCGTAACTTCTCCGCCGTTGACTGCGGTGTCAAGCTCAAAAATGAAATTATATGCAACTGTAGCCTTGAGAACCACACGATTTGCAGAGTGACAGAAATGTAAGATCTCTCTTAACTCCAATGATTCCCAACTCTTCAATCTCCCAATTGGTCTTGTAATTTAGGTGACGATGTGTGTTCTTTCACTTTACTGAATTGGTTGTTAATTTTACCCTTAGACAGGGACGGACCCGATACGGTATGAAATCAATTGATTAGTATGAATAATTAATAGGTCAGGTTTGTTTTGGACAAAAATAACCCGTTTAATTGGTATTGCAAGTATTTTTCTAATTTTTGTATACAAATTATATGATTTGTTTTAGAATTAAATAATTTTTTATCGACACTAATATTAAAAAGAACACTACACTTGAAAACGACACAATTTAATATGGCACAAGATAAAAATAACACCACGTATTGATACTTCCAAATTGTCTGTTTGGAACATCCGCCATCTAGTTCATTGAACCCACTGGTGGGTTTTTAAAGGGTTCCATTGACATTTTGGTGATACCCACTCATTTTCAGGGTGGAAGATTGAAGTTGCTGGTAATGATTAGGTTTGAAATTGAGAGGATCTAAAACCAAGTAGTTTATATGAAAATGCTCTTCATGTATGATAATATTTATCGGGGAATTGTCTGCAAACAGCATACATTATGGGAGCTTATCCTCAAAGCAAAAAAATATGAACTTAAAACAGAATTCTGATGTAAATCTATAGTAACTTGAAATTCATTATTCTCCCCCACCGTTGTTCTCACTAAAGTGTTTACATCTTCATACATATCTTTAATAACATCAATATGCCTAATAGTAACATTTTTATTCTCAGAAACCATTTACAATATTTCTCTAGGAATTAAATTATATGTCTTCTCTAAATTTATAAAAATCATATGAAGGTCCTTATTTTTTCTCCCTTTACCTCTCCATTAGTCTCCAAAGTGAATATATAAGTTCAATTGTTGATCTTTCAGGCATAAATTCAAACTGATTCTCAAAAACTGTTGTTTGAAACTTTAATCTTTGCTCGATCACACTCTCCCAAAAATTTCATTGTATGATCGATTAGTTTAATACCTCGATAGTTTGTGCAACTTTGTGTGCCTTCCATAAGTACTTAGAAGGAAATCTTCTACTATTCAGGTTGTAATTGTTTGTTGGGTACTTCCATTCAAGAGGAATGTAAATTCTTTCTTGGCCTTACTCAATTGTGTCCTTAATGCAAACCCATTTCCAGGCACAATGTGCATACAAGACAGGGTGACACTGGCTTGCCCACCTGGAATTTTCCATTTCAATTGTCTTGAGCCTCCAGGTTGGTTTATTGTGAAAACATACCTAACCCCATGCTAAGGATCCAAAGATGCCCTCCAATATCCTTTTTCTGAGGTTTTCACAATGGTATATAACTTACCCGAGTATTGTTGTGGGACCCAGTAGCATAAGAGTGGGTCTATGCCTAGTCGATCTCACGACTCTCACCTTTAATACTAAGATACCATGTGGAAATGATTTTTTCAAGTACTTTTTTTGTTTTGTATTTTTATTTTCCAAACTTGCTCCCTTCCTTTAAGTTAATCACACATATGGGTCTTACACTATTGTTACTTTTGTTTTGATTTATCAGTAGCTGAGTTATTATGAAGGATTTCACTGCTTTGTTTTACAGTGATTTGTCAAGTCATGATCTAGGGGGTCGCATACCTGCGGAAATTGGAAATCTTACTCATCTAAGACTATTGTAAGAATAACTACACCATTTTTCTCAATTCATACATTTCTTTTAGACGTAGTTGAATTTTTATGTGATATTTGTAGAAATTCTTTACGCAAAATAAAGTCTAATTACACATTATGTCAGATCTCTAGTGAATATGGTTAAGGATATTTTTTTTACCTCATCCTAGTAATTGGAGCCACTTGCAAAATTTTTATATATAGAAACGCAATATCTATATGTGATCAAGCCAATGGTTTGGGTGGACAAAGGAGCTGGGGATTGAGAATTTATATATTTATTTATTTATTTTTGCTGGTTAAAAAAGGTGGGGGCAAATGTAAGCGCCCAGAGATCACCCCAATAGGTTCTCATTGGAGGGATCATGAGGCTCCTTACTACGTCCGTTATTCCTCGCGGGAACGACCTCACTAGGCTAGCATAGCGGTCAATCATCGAGCCCTAATGTGAATTCTAAGATTCCGATTTTGATTGAGAATTTTTTAATATTATAACAAATATACAATTGTGAAACGTACCAGGTATAGGGGTGAATGTAATAGCTGGCCTGATCAGTTAACTCCAGCAAAGATTCTGCGATATGATGGGTTGAATTATGCTTTCACTTGTGATCAGTGCATCATTTGGTCATCAAGGAAGGCAATAAAAGGAGAAAGTGTCTGAGTGTGTATCTGTTGGGTTAGGTTTTTTTTTTTTTTTGGGGGGTGGGGGTGAGGGGCACTTGACAATTATCTAAAATACAGAAGAAAAAAAAAGAAATTGAAGTACGTTGTTTCAGAAAATTTTTGATATTAAAGAATGATAAGTTGGGATTGGGTAAAATGACCCAAAGCCACTTCAAATCCAAAGTGCAATCAATAAGCACAAAATTGCAAAAATGGAAAACCAAATTCAGAGAAGAAAGTTTAAAGTCCTGTCAATTGCCAAATTTCAAGAAATTTGTGATATTTCTCACTGCATTTAGTTGTGATCTTTCTTTTCACCCTTGTATTTTGGCTGATGTGGCTGCTTGAATGGCAGCAATGGTAAACTTTGTGGGCTCTGTAAATTTTGTTTTTAATGATCACATTCTTTTTTAATTGTGATTTGATCTAGTTCTTTGTCACAGGGATTTGAGTGAAAACAAGCTACGGGGCTCGATTCCTAAATCATTTGGAAACCTGTCACAGCTCTGAGTCCTGTAAGAAGTTTTAGTGATTTACTCGAGGGAATTCTTATTATAACTTATTTGCTCAACTTAATCTCTTGTAGATAGTTCTTTTGAGAATATTATATCACCCACCATTACACCACCACCGCCACCATCATCATCATCACCTGCGATAATAATATCCTCGTATCATCCCACACACACAAAAAATCTCAAAGGGTCCAATATGCCTTGAACTCAACTTCCCTTTTTACCAAATCTCACAATCTTCTTCTAAGGTGGAACCTTCAGGAGTACATAATCGCCCTCTTGAAACTCCAAGTCTCTTATCCGGTAGTCCGCATAACTTTTCTATTTGCACTAAATAACTTTTAGTCTTACTTGAATCACTAAACAACTACCTTCGAATTTCTAGTACACCAACGCGAAGCAAAAGGCCAATGCACGAATAGTATGCCCAGGCTGCCTGTCAAATTTAGAATGATAAATTACATTGAACTTCAAAGTGTTATCCATAACATGTTGCAAATTAGGCTAAATCTAAAGATAAATTTTGGACTTCTATCTACTACACTAGATAAAGATACTCTACATAATCATACACTCTCCCCAAATAACTCTGAGCATACTTTCAAATGAATATTTAAGTTTAATTATCAAAATTGACTAGACTTCATCAATCAATCCACGATAACTCAAATAGATTTTTATGTCCAATTTGTATCCTGAAAGTCCTTATAAAAAATTCATAGTAATATACTCCCATTTTTATTCACAAATTGAAAGAAGTTGTGATAATCTATAGGACACTAATATTCGGTCTTTATCTATCAATGCAATACGAATTGGCTACGAATTCAACAATCTCTCTTTTCTTTCCACTCAACCAATAATAGTTTCTCAATATCAATATAATTTTGAACTCGCCGGATGCACATAGAATTATAGGTTGCATCTATAATGTCTCTCTTCGACGTATTCTCTTTGGTACCTGTAAATGACGCCAAATATAAACATAACCTCACCACAAATTACAAAACATATTATGCTACCATGTTACACCTCTTTTCTAATACTCTGCACATCCCTTCCCTCCCCCCCTTTTTCCTAGAATCCGTAGCGCAATTCTCAAATGATGTTCAGGTTCTTCCTTTATTCGAGAATACACAAATATAACATAAAAAATACAGTAACAAATGAACCGAGATAAGGTTGAAATACTCGATTTTGCCAATCCACAAAATAGATGTAGCATTTGTCAACCTCAACGACATCACCAAAAATACAAAGTGGTCATCTCAGTTTGACAATTATTTTCAAAACATCTCCATTTCTTTCTTTTAGCTGAGGATAACTCAATCTAGGATCAATCTTATTAAATACTCTAGTTTCTCACAGCTGATCAAATTAATTAATAATCAATATGAAGTAAAAGATATTTATTGTTTATTGCTACCTTTATTAGCTTGTAATAAACAATGTGAAATTTCACAATCCCAACATTTTATTTACAAGCACCACAAAGGCACATCAAGACGAATTACTAGATTAAATAAATCCTTGATCTAATAAATATTCCAATA